GCAATCGGGTCGCGGGGCCCGCGCGCCACCCGGCGCCATTAAGGCCCCAGCGGGTGGCGGGCGCGCTGCATCGAGCCGGACGGAGCGTGAAACGACGTCAACGACGACGGCGACGCCGATGCAGTCGCGGCGGCGGTTGAGATGCCAGCAGCGAAGACGACGGCGATCGCGGCGATGGCAATCATGGCCTTTGGCCGGGCTGTGCGCAACGCTCGGTGGATGGCGCGGCGACGATGCCGCGATTGCGCAGGAGCTCTCAATTCCTGGCGGCGACGGCGAAGACGAAGTTGGCGGCGACGACAACATGCGAGATGACGGCCACGTCGCGGCTCGAGATGGCGACGGCGACGGCGCCGCGTATGATGGTTATGGCGAGACGTTGGGTAGCAAATTAAGAATATGCATGTCGTCGTTTGTGACTGGATGATGGCGATACTGTTTGCGCGGTCGTGGTAGCTTAGACCTGGCTCACGCGGCGCCCTAAAGGAGATGCGCGATGGCGGGGGCTCGTCGGCTGCTGGGGCGGCGATGGATTGCGACGCTGGGATTATGGTAATTGATCGGACCAGTTGCCTTCGCGGTGGCAGAGCCAGTTGGCCATGGGCGCCGGCATGTTGCAGTATATTTTTCGTTGATGTTGATGTGGGCGGACGAGGGGGGGCGACTTGCAGCGGCAGCGTCGGTGACCGCGACGCTGGCGAGCGTTGGCGCAGTCACGACGCGCCAGATCTCGGATCCGGGGCGCTTGCGCCGATGTCGATCACAGCGGCGCCAGGAAGGCCGCCGACGACGACCACGATCAACGCGGCAATGGATATATACTGCCGTGCCCAGCAGGGGCGTTCTCGAACGGGCCGCGTTCAAGGATCAATTTTTGAGTTTCTTGGCTTCTTCAGCTTGGCGCGTCAAACCAGACGAGAAACACGTGGCAAGGGTTTTCTATCGAGGAGCGCTGCTTGTTTGTAAGAAAGCGAGCCGCCATCGCAGCCGATCCGTCGCTGGGCCGTCTGCCGGGGCACCGATGGAATCCGCGACCGCGAGAACAGGATCGTCTCTTGGAAGGCGAGGGGCGCTGCTTCCAGCGTGAGAGGCGCACCTTGGGAGCTCAGGCGCGATCATCCTGGGCTTCGCGGGCCCTGGAAACGACAGGGCCGTTTTTTTACCGGCTCCGTTTTGCAATTTTTTGGCAGGTTCCGACGCCGTTTTTTTACCGGTTCCGTCGCCGATTTTTGACCGGCTCCGGCTCCGGGTCCAATCTTGGATCAGTTTTTTTTCATTTTTCCGGTCGCCGTTTTTTTGCCGTTTCCATTGTCAAGGGAATTTTTCTGGAAGCGGTGAAAAAATTGCCCTGCCGTTTCCGGGGCCCGCAGAGATCCTGGGTCGACCCATGGCGCCCCGTGGAACAGCGCGGGGCCTTTCGATTGCAGAAGCCCGCGGCCCGAACAGCAGCGGAGAGACGCAGCGGCCCCTCTGAAGGCCTATACCACATAACAGCAGGACGCGCTCTCAAGAAGCACTGGAAGACATGCATCATGATGTTAGGATGTTTTCCAGGGCGGGGCACCCACCGGAAATCATCTGGACGGTGTTCTTGTTGAGTTATACGCGTTCGTTTCCTCGTTATCCGTGCATTTCTCCAGGCGGGGAATTCAGTTGAAATTGTTTGCAACTTGCACATGCGTTATCTGGACACCGTTTGGGAACATTCTCGCGCGGGGCATTTAGTTCTGCATTAGTATTCCTGGATTTGTGTTTGGGCTTGTGATTTGAATTCGTTGTAACCTGTTTGAACACCATGGCCCGCCTGTTTCTGCGCTCGTCATATTGCAAGGCCGCGCGCGATGGCGTTCCCGACCAACGAGAGAGTGCGTTGAGGTGCGCAAGAAGGCATCCGCGAAACGGAACGAAAGTCTAATTGACGCGTGGTGATAGCCCAGGAGTAGACAGTGAGGTGGAAAACGTGACGATTGGGTTGGGCACAGCGTCATTTCAGAATGTGTGCGGCGGAATACGATTCACGAGTCATTGCCCATGACGGGTGAGTAGCAACAACGGGATGGCGGCGGCGAGGGGCTTGGACGCATTAGTCCGCGCAGGCGGCAAAAAAAACACGCTCGATGACAAACTAGAAGTAGGGAGGACTGTGCATCAAGTGTCAACAAGGTCGGAGGACACAGCGCGGCAAGGGAGCACACATGATCGAAACCAGAAGGGGGGGTTGTTTGAAACAAACCAGCAACGTAAAGCAACGATCCGCCCGCCCCTGCCAGTTATGTTCAGGTCATGGCCCGTGCAGACTCATCGCTGTGATAACGCACTGATGCGAGGGCACGATTGCCGTACATTCGGAATCATCATGATTGTTACAAGACGAAAAGGCAGTAAAACGCTGCGTTGCAAATCTAGGGGCCTTGCCTGACGCGTAGATGGCAGTCGTCTCCAGTTCCTGACGCGCGGTTCGACGCGGATCCGGCGACGCGGATCTGGCGTGGATTCGCCGCAGATCCGACGCGCATCCGACGCGGACCCGACGCGGATAGCGACGCGATGGGACCGGCAAGGAGGCCCTCCCGAAGGTTCAGCACAAGACACGACCCGACTGGTCGCAGCGGGCCTCTTCTGCCCTTGCTCCCGGGCCCCTGCCGGCGGCGCGCCCAAGGGGGGAAGGCAGAAGTGGCTGTAGTCGCAGCCCTTCCGACGACGACGACGACGACGACGACGACGACGACGACGACGACGACGACGTCGACGACGGCGACGACGACGACGACGACGGCGACGACGACGGCGGCGACGACGGCGACGACGACGACGGCGACGACGACGGCGGCGGCGACGAGCGCGGCGCTCCTCGTGCCGCCGGGGCCTCGGCGCCCCGGCCCGTGCAAGGCATGGGTCTTTCGGCCTTCGCCGAACGCAGGAGGGGAAGGAACACGCAGACACAGTGAATCGTCGGTCCCCAGGAGGATGTGGGAAAACATTTGAATTAGAAAATATGGGAAAATATGGTCGGTCCCCAGGAAAATATGGGGGCTATTTTTTGAGCGTTTTTTTGCCATTTTGGAATGTTTTGCTGGGTAATCTTATTTTTCGCAAATCCCCATGTAGGGGGACAGGCCCGACTTAACAATATGAACCGTCGATCCCCAGGAGAATATTGGAAAATGTGGGAAGTGGGGGGGAAGACAAGAACCCAGAAGATGCCGGAAGATCTGGGGAATCCTGTGATTTGTGTGTGCGTGTTTTTTTTTTTTGTCGCTTGCTTGTGAGGGGAAAAACACACAGACACTATTATCAAGTCGGGCCTGTCCCTCTACAGGAGGGGAAAGAGCACGCAGACACAGTGCATTGCCGGTCCCCAGGAGAATATTGGAAATTGTGGGAAGTGGGGGGGAAGACAAGAACCCAGAAGATGCCGGAAGATCTGGGGAATCCTGTGATTTGTATGTACGTGTTTGTGTTTATGTTGTTGTTTGCTTGTGGGGTGGGGAGGGGGAAAAACACAGACATTATTATCAAATCGAGCCTGTCCCTCTACAGGAGGGGAAAGAGCACGCAGACACAGTGAATCGTCGGTCCCCAGGAGAATATGAGAAAATGTGGGAAAATGCAGGAACATTGGCTTTTCAGCCTTCTCACCGGACTCAGGAGGGGAAAAAGACCGCAGACGCTATCATCAAGTCGGGCCTGTCCCTCTACTGTGGGGATATTTCATAATAGTCAAAAAATAGTCCGGGGGCTAGGTTTTGAGCATTTGCTTGTCATTCTGGAATATGTTTTGAGTATTTTGCATTTTTCGTCGAACATCCCAATGTAGGGGGACAGGCCCGACTTAACACTATCAATCGTCGATCCCCTGGGAAAATGTAGGAAGTGGGGGGGAAGACAAAAGCCCAGAGAATCTAGGAAAGTATGGGGAATCCTGTTATTTGTGTGTGTGTATTTGTCTGTGTGTCCCAGGGCCCCTTCACGAACACGCATTCGAACATTCATCACGCCCAAAGCAGTTGGCAGCAACTCGTTCTTCCCCGCCCACTCCTCTAGGCCTCCCAGATGGGGCCCGAGTTCAGGAGAGAAAAATCATACACAGACACAATTACTCGTCCATCTCAAAGAAAATATGGGAAAATATGGGAATTGGGCGGGAAGACAAAACCCAGAAAATATGGGAAAATGTGGGGAATCTTTTTATTTGTGTGTATTTATTTGTGTGTCCTTGGGCCCCTTGATAGATGGGGTCGGAGGAGCGCACCGCATCGCCGATGCATCGGCAATGCGGCTCCACGTGGAGCCCGTGTTTCTCCGCGCCCACGTCGCGGATGCGTCGCCGACGTCGCCTACGCATTACCGATGCATCGCCGATGCATCGGCGATGCATTGGCGATGCGGCGCGGTCCTTCGACCCCATCTAGTCGGACCCCATCCAGGAGGCCCCTAACTCCCCAATCTTCTTAGCACCCGAAGGGTGATTGTATAGATATTGTATGCTTCCCAGCTGGCGCTCTCGTGGCTGCAGACTCTGCAACGAAGACTCGCAGGATCAGGATCGGTGGCGCCCGCACAGGCCGGAAACAGCGAGGTGGGGACGTCAGCCATCCTCCGAGGACACAGACGGCTGCTCAGGTTATGTTGTTCCCATCGCACTTGAGGACCACATCCCCGAAATAATTTCGAGCACCCGGAGAAGTGTCGAAAGAGCGTCGAAAAGGTGCCGAAACATTGTCTCGGACGAGTGTCTCCCAGGGCCCGACGCGTGAAAACCCTCGAGTTTCGGCGCTCTTGCTGGTGCTCGACCTTCTTCCCGGCGGCCCAGGCTACAGTAGGTTGGAACACCATGATTTTCAGGAGGCGCTGGGCCTCGACGGACATCCCGCCGCCATCTCGGACGGCCACTCCCTTTCTTGTCGTCCAGGGCGCGCCGCCGATGGTGGGGGCGGGCCTCTTCCCACCCTGCCCGGGGGAGGTTCTGCCTCTCCCCCGGCGCCCGGAGCGCGCGCCAGGTGCCCCGGGGGAACCCTCTGGCGCCCTTGGACCTCAGCGCCACCAAGTCCCTGCAGAGGCGGCCGCCAGCTTCCCTGGGGTTCGATCGGGCAGCGCCACGTGGGGGTGGGGAGTCACCACCGCGGGGGTCACCACTTCCCGGGAATCGAGGGCCGATCATCGGGAACAGAAGGAGCCTCAACCCCGAACCCTGAGAACATGGTGAAGACGTGGCCTCCTTCAGGTCACCGTCTTTGCATTCGGAGTAGTAGCTCTGGGCTGTATCCTTAATGTTTGTTGGCCCTCCTAACTTAGGCCCCCTTCCAACGGGTTCGGGGCTCTTCTATTGCTAATCAGTCGAGGAGGACGAGATCAGAAGAGGACAAAAGTACCGATGCCGGTACCGTTCCCTTGTTCGGCTTGTTTTTTCCCATATCGTAAGATGGGGTTCTTGTTATTACTTGGACGCCTCCTACTCTTTCCTCCTCATACTCGGACTTACTCGTACTCGGACTTACTCATGCTGAGACTTACTCATACCCAGACTTACTCATACTCAGACTCGTTCCCAGACGTACTCAGACACAGACATACTCCTACTCAGACCTACCCATACTCAGACCTTCTCATTGTCTGACTTACTCAACACACAGCAGATTGTCAGGATGTCGCAGGCGGGGCGATGGTTTCAGCACCTCCAAGGGGAGCCGCCAGGGGTGTTTTCACGGTCCTGTTCGCAGCAATTTTGTGGGGATGTCTCAGGCGGTTTGCCAGTTTTCTGTCTCAACATCCTTGGCTATCAGAGCAGATGTTGAGGATGTCTCAGGCGGGGCGCTGGTTTCAGCACCCCCAAGGGGAGCCGCCAGGGATGTTTTCACGGTCCCGTTCGCAGCATTTTTTTGTTGCGGATGTCTCAAGCGGTTTGCCTGCTTTCTGTATCAACATCCTTGGCTATCAGAGCAGATTCTGGGGATATCTCAGGCGGGGCGCTGGTTTCAGCACCCCTGAGGGGAGGGAGCCGCCACGGGGTATGACACGGTCCCGTTCGCGGCCGTTTTGTGGGGATGTCTCAAGCGGTTTGCTTGTTTTCTGTCTCAACATCCTTCGCTTGGAGAGCAGATTATGAGGATGTCTCAGGCAGGGCGCTGGTTTCAGCACCCCTAGGGGGAGCCGCCGAGGGGTATGACACGGTCCCGTTTGCGGCCGTTTTGTAGGGATATCTCAAGCGGTTTGCTTGTTTACAGTCTCAGAATCCTTCGCTTGGATAGCAGATTGTGAGGATATCTCAGGCTGGGCGCTGGTTTCAGCTACCTAAGGGGAGCCGCCAAGGGTGCTTTCACGGCTCCGTTCGTCGCCGTTCTGTGGGGATGTCTCTAGCGGTTTGCTTGTTTTCTGTTTTTGCGTTGTGTCCCGAGTGGCTCTCCCCGTTGGTATGTCCACCATAGCACTACCCTACAATATGAGATGCACATATGTTTCATATGGCTAGACGCTCATTTTAATATCCCGAATACAATATTACCTTTCAGATACAATATGAGGCGCACATATGGGGAGCTCCACGCAGTGAGCAATTTTGCCTCCCGGGAGGCCCTCGGCGCCATGGCAGGATTTGCCTCGAAGTTCTGGTCAGAACGCCCCCAGGAAGCGGTCCATAGAGTAGCGGTCTCGGCATGTTGTCTGGTCCCCTGTGGGAGAGTCCAGGAGGTGTTGGACGTTGTCGGGGGGCGTCTGCGGGGGGGGGGGGCCCTGGGAGGCCCGGCGGGGCTCGTTTCCTGGAGGGCGTGGCGACGCCCCTGGTGGTGACCCCCTTTGGCGCTGCCTGGGGGCCGTTTTGCTTCCCCGCCCCCTCCCCCGCCGGAGCACCTCCGCACCGGCCGCCGTCGGGGGCCGCGCCAGCAGGACGGACCCCGGGCCCTGGACCCCCCGTAGGCGCGGATGCGCGGGATGTCTGCTGGCCGCGCCTGTTCTCCCGTGTCCTCACTCCATGTGCACGTCGGAGCTTCATTCACTTATTCATTTTACTGTCAGAATCCATACTTTCATGGCCTGTGCTGTTTTTTTGTTTCTTGGAGAACAACTAATTTCTAATATATATATATATATATATATATATATATATATATATATATTCATCATCAAATTATGCTCATTATTTTTTCATTGCTATTTTTTGTATCCCCAGGGGTCGGGGGTGGACAGACCTCCTACCCCGACACGTCGAGGAGCGAATTGGGCGTTGTCGCTTCGCGAGAGGGCGTCGCGGCCGTCGTTTTTGCGGGTCCAGGTCCGTCGGTTTTGGTCCCAGGCCGTCTTCACTAAAGTGTGGTTCACTAAAGGCAGGTTTCACTGCCGAATGGGCGTGGTCTGGGCCCCACTGGCCGATTTACTTTTCTAGATGGGGATATAAGCCGTTTCCGTCGGGTTTCGAAGGGTATATCCCTTTTTCGGAGTGGTAAGATGGCGGGGGTCTGGAAGGGGGTGTGGATGAGGATAGGCGTCGGTTAAACAATCCTGAATACCGCTTCCTCTCTATTTGTGTTTTTTGGTGCTTCCCTCTCTCTCTCTCTCTTTCTCGTTCTCCCTTTGTTCTGTCTCTCTGTGTTTTTCTCTGTCTCCCTGTCGGCCTCCCGCTGCCTTCCTCCCTCACCCCATTCGTCTATGATCATCTTGCTCCTTCCCGCAGCCCTTCGTTCCTCCCACCCTGTTGGTTAAATGTGCAAATGTGTTTTGTTTCTCGCGAGGTAAACTGACTTGAACTGATCTGAACAGATTGGTCGCACCCGTTACGCGACGGTTTTGTTCTCGGCCGCCGAGGGCGCAACCTATGGCGCAGCCGATATGAGACGGTTTTACTTTCGGCCGCCGTTTCCGTAGCCATTTTACCTCAAGCCATTTTGGTTGAAGCCATTTTGGTTCAAGCCGTGCCCGCGTCGAGCCCGCCGCCGCAGGGCCGCTTGGCCCGCCGCGGGCCTCCGATGGCGGCGGCGACGGACCGCCGTGCGGCGCTGGCCGCAGCCCGCGGGGCTGCGCTGGCTGTGCACGGCGCTGCTGGCCTGGCGCGGGGCGCGGCAGCCGCTCGGCTGCTGCGCACTGCCGAGGGCATCGTGCGCACCGCGGCGGCGATGCTCGACGCCGAGCTTCGCGCCGCCCGTGGCGCTGCCGCTGGTGGTGGAGGAGTCGGTGGTGCAGGTGTCCCTGTTGCACCGCCTGCCGCTCCCGCGGCGGGCGCCCCGCCTGGGGGGCAGCGGCAACGGCGGAGGCGCCGCCGCCGCGCTCGATGGTCCCCTTCCGCCGCCGAGATCACTACGGCGGTGGCTGCTGCTGCTGTCGGCGGCGTCGGCGACAGCGGCCTCGAGGACGACAGCTGGGCTGACCACCTGGTCCGCCCAGCGCCCTCGGCCGCCGCGCCCGCCGATTCGCTTGCGGCGGCCGCCGCCGAGGCGCCCCCTACTCGTGAGTCGCCTGGAGCACCGCTCGGCGGCAAGGGGGGGGCTCCGCTGGTGGTCCTGGGAGTGGTGCTGCGGCGGCGCTGGGGCTGGAGGAGGTGTTCGCGCTGTGCGACGCGCGCCTCCAGGAGGCGGTCGGCTACACGCCCCACGACAGCGTCGTGCTGCGGCGCGAGCTACAGGCTCGACTGGCGACCCGCCTGAGCTCCTGAGGGAGCGGCTTCGGTGGTCTGCCCTCTTTCGAGGGCGGCACGGCCTGGTGGGTGTCCCGCGTGGGTGCCTCAGGTGATGCCGCAAACCTCAATCAAGCAAGCCGAGCAGGCGTCAGCCTCGGCCTCTGCGGCAGCGGTGGGTTGCCTGGCGGATCGTGGTGCGCTGCGCGCCAATGCCGCTGGAGGAGAAACATCTTCGGCCGCCGAGGGCGCAACCAATGGCGCAACCGATAGGGGACGGTTTCATTCTCGGCCGCCGAGGGCACGACCTACGGCGCAATCGATCGGAGACGGTTTCATGCTCAGCCGCCGAGTGCGCAAGCTATGGTGCAACCAGTAGGAGACGGTTTCATTCTCGGCCGCCGAGGGCACGACCTATGGCGCAATCGATAGGAGACGGTCTCATTCTCAGCCGCCATGGGCGCAACTTGTGGCGCAATCAGTAGGCGACGGTTTCATGCTCAGCCGTCGAGGGCGCAACCTATGGCGCAGCCAGTAGGAGACGGTTTCATTCTTGGCCGCCGAGGGGAGAATTTACGGCGCAACCGGTCGGAGACGGTTTCGTTCTCAACCGCCGAGGTTCCGAAACCATTCTGGCTCAAGCCATTCTGCTTCTCAAGCCATTCTGGCTCAAGCCATTCTGGCTCAAGGCTCAAGCGACCGCACGGCTGTTGCCGTCGTCGGGGGCGGCCCTTTCCGGCGGAGCGTCGGGTCAGACGACGACGGCGCCTAGAGGGGCCGTCAGCGTTGCAGAGGCCGCCGTCCTGGTGGACGCGGCCGCTCGCCCGGTTGCAGGGCGCTGGGGCGCTTCGGCGCTCCCTGAGCGCAGTCACTCGCGCGGCGGTGGCGGCGGCGGCCTCGGCCGCTGCGCGCCCGCCGCCCGCTGCGGGGGGCTGCTTCGGGGGCTGAGGAGCCTGGCGGCGACGGCGGACGCGCAGCGCGAGCGGCGCCGCCGTCGGCGCGCTCGTCTTGCTGGGACGCGCGCCTTGGAGCGCGGCGAGGCGTCAGCGACGGCGGCGGAGGCAGGTGATCCTTCGGTCATGGTCGAGCCCGTGGCTCTCGACGGCCCCGATGCCTTCGGTGGCCCCTCCAACAACGAACTCGCCGACTTCAGCTTCCAGGGCGCGGCGCCGCCGCGCGGGCGGCGGCGGGGGCAGCGGCGGCCGGTGGCGGCGGCTGCAGTGGCGGGCGCGGGCTCGGACCCGCCCGCCGCGGAGGCATCGCAGGCGGCTGATGGGGCCTCGGGCGGTTTCTCGGGCGGCGGCGACGGCGACGTGGAGGCCCTCGGCGTCCGGCTCGGTGCCGCCCTCGAGGCGGTCGGGCGGCCCTCCGCCTGGGCCGGGCCCCCGAACGACCCCGAGGAGCTCCGAAGGGCGCTGGACGCGGTGGAGCCCATCGTGGTGCGCTTCGGCCGCGGCGGCGGCGGCCAGCGGAGCGACGCATGCGCGGAGCAGCAGCGGGCTGGCCTTCCGCAGGGCGGCGGCGGCGGCCGCGTTTGGGGCGATGGCAGGCCCCGCCGCCTGCCCAGGTCGCCCTCGGCTTCGCGTTCAGTGGTCGTGGGCGGGTTCGTGCGCCAGGGGGCTGGACGGGCGAGCTGCTTGCCTCGAGGCTGCGGGGAGAAGAATTCTCAGCCGCCCAGGGCGCAATCTATGGCGCAACCGATCGGGGAAGGTTTTAATCTCGGCCGCCAAGGGCGCAACCTATGGCGCAACCGATAGGAGACGGATAGGAAACGGTTTTATGCTCAGCCGCCGAGGGGGGCAACCTATTGCGCAACCAGTAGGAAACGGTTTTAATCGCGGCCGCCGAGGGCACGACTTATGGCGCGACCGAGAGGAGACGGTGTTCTTCTCGGCCGCCGAGGGCGCAACCGATGGGGCAGCCGATAAGAGAAGTTTTTTTTTCTCGGCCGCCGAGGGCGCCACCTATGGCGCAGCCGAGAGGAGACCGAACTGGAGCAGGAGGAAGACGAGAAAAACGAGGAGGATGTGGAGGAGGAGGGCGAGGAGGAGGAGGAGGAGAACGAGGAGGAGGAGGAGGAGGAGGAGGAGAACGAGGAGGAGGAGGAGGAGGAGGAGGAGGAGGAGGACGGCGACGATCAGGACGGGGAGGAGGACGGGGAGGACTACGAGCAGCACGAGGACGAAGAGGGTGGGCATTCGAGTGCGTGCGGGGCTGCGCCCGATGTATGCTCGCCGTTTTGGCTGGTGGTGGGGCCCAAGCGATGGTGGTGGTGTCTTGTGATGTACGATATCCGTCTCGGTTGTCTTGGGATACGTGTATCGCCTTGTCACTGTGATTAAGTGTTGCACCTTGCGCACATTAAGTATATAGATAGGTCATGTATGTGTGGCATCCGTCTCTCTCTCTCTCTTTCTCTCTCTCTCTCTCTCTTCTTGTTTCTCTCCTCTCCCTCATATCCTTACGCAAGCATGAATAGTATATGTCTATGCTCACACACATGCATCCACAAGATTGCAGTGGCGCCTCGTGCCATGCATTTTGGCCTTTCAAGTTCCGCGCCCAGGCGGAAATAGTGAGGGAGAGAGTAGGAGTATATTGCTATCCCCGTGTTCGTTATCGTCGTCATCCCCGTCTCCTTCTTCTCCCTTCCTTCCTCTTCTTTCTGTCCGTTTCCTCGATGTATCCCGTGCCTGTGAATATTTTCTTGTCCTTTTTCTCCTCAGATTCTTGGTGGAGGCTCCTCCTAGGGAGGTCTTCAAAGGACATCTCGAAGGCCTCATTGCGGCTTCCTGGGGGCCTTTGGAGGCCTACTTGGAGTCTTTCGGGAGCTTCTGTAAGCTTCTTGGGGCCATCATGCTGTCAAGCGCGGTTTCTGTTAACGACCGTGCCCCAGCGTGAAGCGCTTTGGGAAGCCGTCCTCGGGTGATCTCAGTCCGTTTCATCGCTTTCTTGTGGCCGTCTTGGGGTTCTCTCGGGTCGTCTTGAGGTTTTTTTTGTTCCGTCTCTCATTCCGCAGTCTCCGACGCCCGAAGGACAAAAGAAGCGTATGCCCCCGAACCCATATGGCAATGTTTTAGGGGATCCATTTGTTGAGCCTTTTGGTGGCATCTTGGGGGTCGTGGTTGGGGCGTCTTGGGGCGTCTCTGAGGGTTTTGATACCCCTTTGGGCTCCCGTGGAACAGTTCGGGCGCCCTCCAGACCGTTGTGCGTATCTTTTCGAAGCTGGGCAGGGACGTGAAGGAGGCTTGGAAATCGAAGGAGACGCTTTGCAGAGGCGTCCAGGAGGACCGGGAAGCCCCCAAACCAGACAGGGCGCAAATTGCAGTGTCCCCCCCCGCGATCATTAAAATAAAGGTATGGGCACCTGTTTGTTGACACTCCCTCTCTCTCTTTCTCTCTGTCTCTTTTCCTCTCTCTCTCTGTCTCCCTCTCTCTCTCGCTCTCTCTTTCTTTCAGTATATATGTACACAATGTATACCCATTGGTGTTTGAGTGACATCGTTCGTATATCATGCGTTCGTTTATTTTAACGCTGCGCGCTGGACACGTTTGCTGATGAGGGCCGATCTCCAATTAATTGCTGTGGTGGGCCCGTTCGCTTACGAGAATTGCATAGTCGGGTCAGGTGGCACTGTCACTGATGCATCTTTTGTTCAATGCGTGAGGCATCGTAGCGCCTGACTGCTGGATTGAGGCTCGGAAGCCAGCGAAACAGTTGATTCCGATACCGACGGGTCCGCCTTCACCGAATACGTCTAAAGAGATAGAAGGGCTCCCATGAAGTGATGCTGGTCTGGTTCAAGGCTGGAGCTTGCGCTCGTCGGCCTTGACAGAAGCCAGCTGCACTGGGCTGCCGATGGAAGAGCCGGGGGGCAGTTCGAGGCTTGCCCAGGCCTCTGGCAGAAGGGTCGCTCGCTGGAGAATTTGGCGGCGCACGCAAGGGGGTGGAGGGAGGGGGGGGGGCTTCTTAGAAGGAGGCTGCTTCTTAGAAGGCGCTGGCCTTACATCTATAGGTAAGGCCCGCGCCGGCTAAGAAGCAGGGGTGCGTCTAAGAAGCCCCCCCCTCCCCACACCCCCCTCTGCGCGTGGCTGAAGAATCTTCTCTGGGCCACCCTGGACGGCACGGCGACCCTCAGTACACGGTCGACGTCGCAGCTTCTGAGTTCGAGACTGTCAGTATCTTGTCGTTGTGTAGGTGCGCAGTATTTCGCACAGTGGTGTTCTACACGTGGGAGTGAGAAGGAACGTATGTAACCCAAACGAGCAGCGCTCTCTCGTATATTTGCCCCCCGATTTCTGATGTTGGTCTTGCCGCTGCTCTCTCCTCAGCTATCCCCCGCTGCAGTTTGCCGTCCCTGGAGGGGTGTCGTCATGTCTCCCTCCTTGCGGTCGCGTCGGATTTACAGGCAAAAGCGATGCACATACCCCCTCCCCTGCATGCCCACGTATTCTCCCTAATTTGGCGTGCGTACCGATCTCCTTTGTCCTCGCTCCTCTTCCAGAACAGCCTGAAACTGGAGGCTCCATGTGCCATGCATGTGCAAAGACTTAGAAGTACTCCACCCATGACTCTCCTGCAACAGTGCGCGGGCCGCGTGCAATCAGAAGCGGCCGTGTTCGAACGAACGAACGGGCATGTTCTCGCGCGGTGCTCAGGCGTGCCAACGACGCCACGAGAGAAAGGACCCGACGCCGCCCTTCTCTCTGTGTGTTCATGTTTGTACGCATGTGAATCTACAAGTTGTGTATGTATATAGCTATAACAAGTTGGCTCTCTCTCTCTCACTCTCCCTGCCTCTCTCTTTACATATAAATCTGTATATAGCTATATTCCTCTCCCTCCCCCTTTCCCTCTCCTTCTCTGCAAACTTATACATATGCACATGTACATCTATATGCATGTACAAATGTATGAATACGCGTATACATATACACATACATGTATTCCTTTTCCTATATTTGTACAAGCCCGGGTGGGGGAAAGCCCGCCCCCCCCAAAATAAACAAATGGACTCCCGGGACCTGGGGCTTTGGGACCCTCCAGACGGGCCTCGGAGCGGCCCCCCGGGCCTCGCAGGGCGTTTTGCCAAGCCTTCGCAGCACACCTAGGGCGATCAGGGGGGTCATCGGAGACGTCCCAGAGACCCCCAAGACAGCACAAGAGCGCCCCAAGAAGCCGTCATACACCGAAAGATCGCTCCAAAACGTACCAAGAGGCCTCCAAGAGCACCCCCAAGAAGGCCCCAAGAGGGAACAATCATTGATTTTATGTAGGTTTTTGGTGAATTTGGGGTTCTCTTTTCAGCTTCCCGACGCGCCAAGACGGCGGTCTTCTGGGCGTCCGAAGCCGCCTGGGAGGCTCCAAAATCGCTCCACAACCGTCCGAAAGGGCTTCCAGGCAGTCCAAGAGAGCCCCAAAACGGTACAACAGGGGTCCAAGATGGCCCTAAGAGAGCCCCATGGCGGCCCAAGATGGCCCCAAGACGCCCTCCGAAACATTCCAAATCGTGACCGGGGCGTTCAGGGAGACAGCGGTTAGAGGCAGGTTGGCCTTAGGAAGCCCCAGAGGCCCCCAGAACACGCCCAGGAGGCCTCCAGAAGGCTTTGAAAAAGCTTGAGAACTTTGGGGAGGCCCCCAGAGGCTCTCCAAGGAGGAGCCTCCGGAAGAAGAGCTGAGAAGGATGGGGAGAATGCCCAGGGTATGGCGAGAATGAGGAAACATAAACATGGAGGAATGATAACGAACAACATTATTATTATAATGGCGATGCCAGAAAACACAGCAAGGAGTAATCGCTAAATTCTCGGCTTGCCCTTCCTGCTATTCCGCCTGCACACCAAACTTCAAGGACCAAGGTGCATGACGCGAAGCGCCACTGCAGCCTTGTTTTTTTTGATATATACATATATATATATATATATACATGTGCACCCCTCTCCACCCCCCTCTCCCTCTCCCTCTCTGCAAACTTGTGCATATGCGCACGTGCATCGATCTATAGGTACACAAGAATAGATATACATCTACGCATACAGATGCACATACACGTATACATTTGTATATATACATATACATATATATGTAGGTTTATATATATATTACTTTCTTTATTTTTATATATATATATATGTATGCGTATCCCGATCCACTTCCGAAGAAGAGGAAAGAGGGCGAGGAAGGGGCGGCACGGCACAGAGCGATGGGGGAGCGGCCTCGGGCCCACAAAGCCCTCGGCGCGGGCGCGCGCGCGCGCCAGCGGGCGGGCGCGCGCCAGCTCTCCCCGGCGTCGGGGCGCCGCGGCGCCGTAGATAGGGGGCAGGCCGGCGAGAGGCGCACGTCCGTCGGCGGCGAGCGAGGGCCGGGGGCGAGGATAGGGGCGGAAAGCCCAGGGGGGAGCAATGCAGTCGACCCGCAGAGTATGGGTAGGCCTCCCTCCCAAAGGGCTCCCTGGCATCCTTGCCTCCTGGGTCCGTCCTTGGACACTGTCGCTGGCCGCGCCCCGCTCGAAGAGCTTCGAAGTGGGCTTCCAAGGCCCTTGCATCCTTATCGCGCATCCTTACTCTGCGGGTTGACTGTACATGTAACCAGGGGTGCCGATGATCTATGGCCTCGACAAGGCTCCCGGGCGAATGCGTGTGATGCCCGCCCCTGGGCTATTCGCCCCTATCGTCGCCGCCGTGAGGGGGGGGAAGGTGAGAAGGAAAAGGCCCTCTCACAACGCCTCGGCGTCGGGGTCGCGAAGCCTGGAAGGGGCACGCCGGCGAGAGGCACGTCCGTTGGCGGCGAGCGAGGTGGGGAAGTGAGAGGGAGGAGGCCCTCGCGGAAGGCGGCGGGACTTTTCTCAGAAGCCCCATCGCGCCGTCCAAGAGGTCCTCCTGTGTCTCCCGGGATGGCTTTCAGGGAGCTTCTCGGAAGGCCGGGGGACTGCCGAGCCGTCTGAGGTGGCCCGTCCCCGCTCACTTCCCCCTCATCACGAGGGAGGAGAACGAGGAGCACGATACAGGAGGAGGAGGAGGAGGAGGAGGAGGAGGGCGGAGGGAGGATGGAAGATAATGAGGCTCGCCGCCGAGTTTGGCATAGGGGCTGTGCAGGACGACTGCAGGGTGCTGCCTGCTGCGTGCCTCACACGGGCGCTCGGGGCGCTCGGCAGCAGGAGCCCGCGAGATGATATCTCGTCCTGGTTGATCGGATGGGAGAGGAGGAGGGAGGAGGAGGAGGAGGAGGAGGAGGAGGAGGAGGAGGAGGAGGAGAAGGAAGGAGGAGGGGGATAAGGAGGAGGAGGCGGAGGAGGAGGAGGAGGAGGAGGAGGAGGAGTTGGTCCGAAGGTGTTCCCTCGAGAAGCCCCGCTCGGTCCGCGACCTCCGCCTCCAGATTGGTCTGCATGTTTAGCGCAGCTCGAGGCGCGTGGCGACCAGGCTGCCCTGGACAGGGGCTACGCTTGGTTTTGCAAGCTCTTCGAGGATGAGATGATAGGTATCCACGGCATTGGCAAGAGCGATGCGCGCAAGTATCGCGGTCGGGCCAAAGGAGTGAAGACCAAAATCCATCCAGCAGTACCAGTCTCGGGCGGGCCCTACCCGGTATCTTCGGCCAAAGGAAGAGCTTGGAGGAAGTGGTCGATTCATATTCAGGAGTTTAGTTATCTCGTCAGGAAAGGAGTGCCATTGGACCGACCAGATGCCAGATCACTTTTCTGCCAGGTGCTTCAAGGGCCTGCAGCGCTCCGTGCCGACCCTTTTTGGCAAGAGTGCGCAGTTGCTGAGTCGGACTTGTGTTGCCTCGACTTCTGTGGCCTCGTGCAGTTGAGGCCCTGGCCACGATTATCATAGCTATGATCCCCAAGGATGAGGAAGGAGGAGTTCGGCCTATTGGAATCCTGTCCGGGTGCGTCAGGTGCTTTGGGAAATACTCTCGAGTGCAGGCTGATCGTTGGGAACGGGCCCATGACAGGCCTTACCACTTTGGAAGCAGGGGGCGTTCGTGCGAGAGAGCTGTTTGGGAGCAGGCGATTAGGATGGAGCACGCGTACGTTTTTGGGCACTCGGCTGCTTCCGTTTTGGTCGACATGACCAAGTGCTATGAGAAGGTGGTTCATTTCTTCTTGGCCTCTGCGGCCATCAAGCATGGCTTCCCTTTGCACCGCCTGCGCTACCTCCTCTGCTTGTACAGGGGCCAGAGGGTCTTGCAGGTGGGCAGGGTCTGCTCTGAGTTTGTCGCCTGCGTCCAGGCGATCTTGGCGGGTTGTACTGTCGCCACCACCCTGCTAAAGTGCCTCCTTCTCGACCCGCTAGACTATGTGGTATCGAATTCCCCATCGGTTCGTGTATGCAATGTTGTTGACGATATTACGTGTGGTGCTACAGGTAAGGCTAGGGCGGTGGCGAATACGGCGGCCGATGCTACTTTTGCGCTGTGCAGCAACCTGGAGAAACTTGGTTTCCTGATCTCTCCCACGAAAGGCCTCATCACGGCGACGTCTCGGGATATTGAGTTTCGAGTTCAAACGCGGCTTATGCGCTGGAGATTCCAAGTGGTAAAGTCAGCTCGTAACCTAGGGGTTGACTACACTGCTGGTCGGCGCAGAACTCCAGTCCAGGGATCGAGATGGGAGAGTTTGGGGCCCCGAGTTCGCCGATTTAGGGGTCTCCGCTCTGGCTACTCGGGCTTGTGCAAGGTCGTGAAGACAGGTGGATTGCCAGCAGCCTTTTATGGCACTGCGGTCATTGGCATGAACACCTCCACGGTCATGAAGCTGCGTTCTATCATAGGTCAGGCTTCGTTCGGCAAGGGAAGGGGCCGTTCCAGGACCCTGCAGTTTTTATTGGGCCCGACGAAGGGCTTGGACCCTGTGTTCCAGGCCAACCTCCTGCCACTTAAGATGTGGCAACAAGCTGTGAAACAGAAGTGGGTCCCCGAGCATATCATGAGGGCCTGCGTGCAGGCCTACCCGAAGGCGGCCTCCAGAACTTGGGACAAGGTTCGGGGACCTGCTGGAGCTGTATGGGCTACTCTGGATCGTTTGGGCTGGAGGTTTATTGCTTGGGACACTTGGGAGTCTTGCCGTGGCTTCCTACTGGATCTCAACCACTTCGGGAAGCGCACCCTCACTAAGTTGATTGACTACAGTACACACATGAGGCTCCTGGAGCACGTTGGGGTCCCTGATCCCGAAGATCCTGAGCGTGTGGTTCCCCCCCTCCTGGGGCCCATCATGGACACCCTCAGGGGTCTCAGGAAGGCGGGGAGAAACTCAGCGGCTGCCTTTTTGTGTAATGTAGTCGCAGGAGGTCATCCCACTCAGGAGGTTCTATTCCAGGACAGGCGAGCCATCACGCCGCTGTGCAGGGTCTGCGGCACGTATAACGGCACGCCTCAGCACCGTTTATTCCAGTGCGACGGTTTCTTTATGTTTAGGCGGGACATAGACCTGCCGCAGTGCGTGGACAGAGGTATGCAGCTGGGCGCCTACGATCTATTATCGACGAGGGCGCTCTGTGCGGACCCAGGGTACGATTGGCCCAAGGTGTCCACAGCCGAGACCTGGCGGTGGGATACAGTGCCAGAAGCAAGGTTTCTAGGCAGCAGGATATGCATCGACGGCTCAGGGTTCGACACGAACTCGCTGTATGCAGCACGTGCAGGTTGGGCTGTGGTTGCCATGGATCAGAGCAGTCGGTGCGAGGGTAGTGCTTTCGGACCCCTCCCTCATCCCGTCCAGGAGTCTGGGGCAGGCGAGCTGTATGCGTTGCTGATGGCCCTCAAGCTCATGGGACCCTCGCAGTGCACCCAGATCTACACGGATTGCCAGGCCATCTTGGACGTGTGGGCCCGTGGGCCCGAGTCGGACATGTCTGAGGTCGCGTTCTCGGAGGTCTGGGAGCTAGTATGGGATCGTGTTCGTGATATAGGCGTAGGAATTATCTGCCTGCACAAAATTAAGAGTCACATTTCTTGGAACAGGTGTTTAGAGACCTCAGAGGCCCCTCACTGGGCCTGGGTCGGCAATGGCATTGCTGATGGTCTTGCTAAGCGCGGAGCCCTGGAGCACCCTTGCAATCCTAGCCTCCGTGCCCTCCAGAGACAGAGAAGCTCGGAGGTAGATGCCTTCAGTAGGTTCATTGCGTGTTTTGGGGAGATGCTCAGCAAGCAGAATTTCCCAGATGTCCAGAAATGTAAGGCCCCCCCCCGCCCCAAGCATGACCCCTTAGTCTTGGTCTGTGATTTAAAGGGGCATGCTGTTCACAGGACAGGCTCAAAGGGGAAGGGGGCCTTCCTCTGTGTGAACTGTGGAGCCATGGGGTTTTCAGAGGCGTCAGTGTGCGCACTGCCGTGCTCGGGCCTCCCCAGGCTTGCCAGGCTCGCCCACTCCAGTCATAAGCTCTGGATTAGCGGCGGGCGTTTGGTTTTTTGTATTTCTTGCGCTGCTTTTGGGTCGGTCAAGCTGTGCCTATTGGGAGGTGCGTGCCCTGGCGCGCCTCCTAACAAGCCAGCGGAGAAGACCCTAAAGCAGCTGAAGGAGGGGAAGGATCCGTCCTCCAAATCCTTCGTGGGTCGGCCTTTCCCCCTCCACCGGTCGGGGCCCTAGCGGTGCGGTCGCGCGCCTGCTGGCCCTGGCCTCGTTTTTCGCGTCGCTCGCCGTTCGCCCGCCGCCCAGTTGTCTCGCCTGGAGGAGCTTGGCTGCGCAAGGATCGACAGGATCGACAGGAGGAGGAGGAGGAGGAGGAGGAGGAGGAGGAGGAGGAGGAGGAGGAGGAGGAGGAAGGAGGAGGGGAGGAGAGAGAGGAGGAGGAGGAGGAGGAGGAGGAGGAGGAGGAGGAGGAGGAGGAGGAGGAGGAGGAGGAGGGAGGAGGGGGAGGAGGAGGAGGAGGAGGAGGAGGAGGAGGAGGGGCGCTTTGTGCCCCGGTGGCAGGCGGTTTTGTCGCCACGTTCGATCTCCAAGCGACAGGGGCTTCACTGTTCCGCTGGCTCCCAGGGGCCGCTCCTGGGCCCAGTGGGATCGCCGAGGCACGAGAGACGAGCTGGGATGAACACATTTGTCTTCTGGAAGGGGCCGAGCCCCGCTTCTTGGCATCGCTCGGACGTGTGCATGTTTCCTTCGGCGAGGGCCATCGAGGAGCATCCTTGATCATTTGGAGCAAAAACCACGCACGAAACCGAAAAAAAACACAGGGAATGGACGTCCGAGCGATGGCGAGGCTCAGTCCCCTCGCGTGGACACTCTTGCGGGCACCGTCACCGTCACCGTCAAGGGGCCGAGACTGTAAAGGAGGAAGAGGTACCGACAAAGATGCCCCTGCATCGCTGTCCCCATTCGTGGGGCCTCCTGGGTGGCCATCGTTGCCACCGCTGGCTTCGCCTCGAAAGCCTGGTCACCCCAGGAGAGGTCCTGGGAGCAGCGGTGTCGGTATCTTACGTTTTCCACAGACAGGGCCGAAAATGTCAGAGGGTCACGTCTCAAAGGGATCGAGTTGTTGGACGCCTAGGGGGATGCGCCTTCGTGTGGAAGCCACCGCCGGGATCCCATCAGCATTTCCCCGAAAAAGCGCCACATTCCGCAGCAGCATACCAAGACGACGGAGGACAGTCTAGGCAACAAAGATAGTCTTTGTGGTCGTTCTCGGGGTCGTGGTCGTCGTCGTCGCCGTCCAGCCAAAGTCCTCGCAGTCCTCACAGTGCTCGCAGTCCAGGGTCAACTTCGGTTCGATTGATCTGTTTTGGCCTCTATATATATATATATATATATATAGATACACCTATACGACCACCCTTCGGGTGATAAGGAGGTTGTGTGGGGGGGGGGAGGGGGAGGAACCAACATCTGACTCAATCGATCTCACTATCGATCTCACTCAACGGGACACCACGGGACACCGCGGGACACCTCTCGATCTCAGTATCGGTCTCACTATCGATCTCACTATCGATCTCACTCAGCGGGACACCATAGGACACCACGGGACACCTCGGGACACCTGTCGATCTCACTATCGATCTCACTATCGATCTCACTCAGCGGGACACCACGGGACAGCTCGAGGCACCACATCGATCTCAGTATCGATCTCACTATCAATCTCATTCCACGGGACACCACGGGACACCACGGGGTACCTGTCGATCTCATGATCGATCTCACTCAGCGGGACACCTCGGGGCACCACATCGATCCCACTATCGATCTCACGATCGATCTCACTCAACGGGGCACCACGGACACCACTGGACACCGCTGGACACCGCGGACACCGCGGGGCACCGGCCGCAGGAGGAGTTACATTTGGTCCGGCCGCGGCCCAGCCACAGGAGGATTTCGGGACCCCCGCGGGACACAGGCGGGACACCGCGGGTCGCCGGAGGAGTTACATTTGGTCCAGCCGCGGCCCACAGGAGGATTTCCTCTCGCCCGCCCACGCAGCTTCGCCTCGCCCGCACGCACGCACGGCACGCACGACACGAACCCAAAACCGAAATCGATTTCCGGGTAGGGGGGGTCTCCGTTTCACGTCAGACTCACCCCCCAACCTCCGATGTATGGATTCTTCAAAAATTCTTGCACTTCGGGGGTTCTTACTTCTGTTGTAGGGAACTGGGCCGTGTCTTCGTACTGGCGGCTATGTGGCCGCCGTTGCCGTCCCGTCGCCACCTCGCCGCCCTAGATTGCACCGCATGCACCGGATGATGTTTCACCATTTTGATTCCACCACATAGCTTGCACAACACATATTGCACCGCATAGATTACACCGCCTAGATTGCACATCATATATTGCACCACATAGAGTGCACGACATAGATTGCAGCACGCACCACATGTATCGTACCACTTGGATTGCACAGCATAGGTTGCACCACATAGAATGCACAGCAGTTACTGCACCACATATACTGCACAACATAGGTTTCACAACCTAGACTGCACCACATGTGTTGGGCTCACGCTGGCTAGCATAGCCATGTGTATGGTTCATACACATGCGTGGTTTGTCCCATGCAAGCCTTTCCAAGGGAGTAGAGCTGAGAGACCATGAATTGAAGCCAAAGGGTCCCGTCCGCCGTTTGTCTGGCCGTTTCGCTAGAGACAGCTTCAGCTTCTGAACTTCGGACGCACCCCTCGTGCAGATCGTGACTTCAGTTTCAAAAACACAGACCGCTGAACAGTTTGACATATAGCTTCTGGGAAACACAATGGAGTTGAATGATGTTGGTCGCGATTCTTGGAATATGTGCCGTTTCGCGTGAGACATCCCCCAACAAGGGCATCCAAAACGGACATGACGCTCGAGGCATCCGCAGAATCTTCTGGCTCCTTCTCATCTTCGGATCCGATGTCGTGTTCCTCTTGTTGCCCACATTCTGCGATGTTGACGTGCTTCACTTGTTTTTGTACGAGCCTGGGTACGCCTGTGCCACTTGCATATAAGAGGGAGGGAAAGGGAGATAGAGGGAGGGAGAGAGGAAGAGAGAGAGAGAGAGAGAGAGAAAATGAGAGAAAGAGAGTCAAGGTGGCCCTATTTGATTCGGTTATGGAATTCCGACGATCCGATGCGGCCCGATGTTTGCATGGTGTTGTTGTGAATCTTGGCGCTGCCGATCCGGTGCCGACGCAGCCCTTTCCGACGCAGATTCCGATTCGATCCCGTTTCTCGGTTCGATGTCGACGGATGTTTTGCGCCCAGGAGCGCATCCGCAAATAGCCTGCTTCCCGAATGATGGTCTGAAGACTCCTCTCCGCTGCAGTTGCCCAGGGATGGGGAGGACGACGGCGGCGGCGGCGGCGGCGGCGAGGAGGAGGAGGAGGAGGAGGAGGATGGAGGAGGAGGAGGATGGAGGAAAAGGAGGAGGAGGAGGAGGAGGAGGAGGAGAAGGATGAAGGAGGAGGAAGGAGAGGAGGAGAGGAGGAGGAGGAGGAGGAGGAGGAGGAGGAGGAGGAGGAGGAGAGGAGGCGGAGGAGGAGGAGGAGAGGAGAGAGGGAGGGAGGGAGGATGGAGGAGGAGGGAGGTCCGCTCCTCTCAGGTGGGTTCAGTCGGGTTGGTCGTCCGCCACCGCCTGAACCCATTTCAACCCTTGCCTCGGTACTGTTTTTCGGCTGCCTTATCGCTCTGCGGTAACGGACAGCTACTGAGCCAATAGGAGCCAATAGGAGGAGGAGGAGGAGGAGGAGGAGGAGGAGGAGGAGGAGGAGGAGGAGGAGGAGGAGGAGGAGGAGGATGGAGGGCGGGGGAGGAGGAGAGGGAGGAGGAGGGAGAGGAGGAGGAGAGAGAGAGGAGGAGGAGAGGAGGGAGGAGAGGAGGGAGGAGGAGGAGAAGGCCCGCCCGCGCTTCGCGGCGAGACGGCTCCTGCACGCTCTCTCCGCGGGCGCCCGCCCAGGACCCTTCACGTCTTCCGGGACCCGCCGTCGGCGCGGTCCTGCAGGATCTCGCACAACAAGGCGCCTTCGGCGGGGCCCCCTTGGCGGGTGGACCTCTCTCTTACCAGCCTGGAACATGTCCCTATCCTTATGCCGGGCATCTCCTCATCACGATGCCAATCTTAGGGATTCCCTTATTTTTTGAGGGCGCAGCCCTCAGATTGCCATCGCTTTTTGTCATGTCAGTCTTTGGGATAGGGTCGAGGCTTGTAACTCTCGAGACCTCCGCCGCCCCCCGGCGGTGCGCGCCTGCGCGCGGGAGCACGGCAGGAGGCCGCGTGGAGGGCGCGGCCTCGGCGGCGCGGCTCCGCACGCGCGCGACCAAAAGTGCAAGCGAGCGGGGAACGCAGCGGAGCCCCAGGAGAGCGGAGGCACCGACAGAGCGGCCCGACGACGAAGAAAAAGGGGGGGAGAGAGAGAGAGAGAGAGAGCTGGAACGGCGCGCGCGCGACAGTCAGATGCGAGCGAGCAGGGAACGCAGCGAGGCCCCAGGAGAGCGAGGCACCGACAGTGCAGCTCAACAACAAAGAGAGGGAGGGGGGGGAGCGCCGGAGCGGCGTGCGCGCGCGCGCGCTGGAGGCCGCCGCGGGGGGGGGCCCTCGAGATCTCGGAGGGTCCTCGCCCCCGCGGCGTCGAGGGGTCGCTAGAGAGCTGCATGTACAGTCGGGGCCCTGGAGAAGGAACCCTTTTGTTGGGGAGGGGCTCCGTGTTCCTTAAGTGTTTCGCAGCTTGCCTCAGACTTTCCTTATGTTGTCGATGGGGAATCGAAGTTCAACTCATGGGAAAAAGGGGCCTCGTTCCTTATTTAGGGTTCCTTAGGTCAAGGCCCCGACTGTATACACGCAGACCCCCGACGCCGTGCGATGTTGGTCGCGCCGTCGGCCCCCCAGAGGCCGCCGGCCTCCTCCCCGGGACCGCTTCTCTTCCTCCCGAGTCGTTTGTGTTGACTCTGCACGCACGAAATGGGTACTGAAAGAATGGGTACAATGCCCAACAGCGGATCCTGTTCATTTTGAACAGGGCTCGCTGTCCACGCCGCCGCCGCCGCGGCCTGTGCCCATCCGAGACAGGAGGCCGCCTGCCCAACAGCGGCCGCTGTTGGTTTGGGACAACATTTGCTGTTGGGCATTGTACCCATTCTTTCGGTACCCATTTCGGGCGTCCAAATTGACGGCCCCGAGGCCGAGAGAGGGCCCCCTTGAGGCCGAAGATGGGAGGAAGCCTCCCGCCGTGCTGTTTTCACTGCTCGATCCCGAGCCGTTTCGTTGACGGTCATTGACGGTCCCGAGGTCCGGTGAGGGCTCCCAGAGGCCGAACATTGTAGAAAGCCTCCCGTCCTCAGCTGCTCTGATGCACACGCTTGAAACGCAACACGTGCCGTGTTCAGGACGTCCGTGCTCAAAACGCGTAGGTGTTCGGTCCACGTCTTCAGCTCCGTGTCGATACGCTACGTGCGTGTTGCGTGTTGCGTATCGGGGCAGCCTCCCGTCGTGGTTTTTTCGTGAGATCGACCCTAGGGGTCTCGACCTGTTCCCGGGGACCGGTGTTTCGTCCTGAGCCGTTTCGTTGACGGTCCCGAGGCCCGGTGAGGGCCCCCAGAGCCCGAAAATTGCAGAAGACTTCCCGTGGTATGTTCTTCATCGCCAGTCCCGAGGCCCGGTGAGGGCCCGCAGAGGCCGAGAATGGTAGCATTGCAGGAAGCCTCCCGTCGTGATGTGTTCTCCTTGCTCGAGGGGGTCTGGGTACGCGGGGCGGCGCGGCTGGCCTGGGGTTAAGTCGGGCGTGTCCCCCTACAGGGGGATTTTCGGCGAGAAAAAGAAAAATCCCCGACAATATTCAAAGCATAGTCCAAAAATAGTTTGGGGATTATCATTTGAATGTTTGTTTTTGCCTTTTGGGGGGCATTTTGGAGGTATTTTTTCCCAACCCTCCTTGGTTGGGTATTCGTTTTGAATAGAACAGGGTGGTCGCGTCACTCCTCCTGCCTCCCGCCTCCCTCTTGCCTCTTCCTGTCTTGCCTGCGGGGGGCTGCGATCTGTGAAACTGTCGCCACTTTCGAGGCCTGCTGGGGGGCCCAGCACAGTGAGGGCCACGGGCGGATTCAAATTAGACCTCGCCATCCCTGGGGGGCTGCGATCTGCGAAACTGTCGCCATTTTCGAGGCCTGCTGGGGGGCCCAGCACAGTGAGGGCCACGGGCGGATTCAAATTAGACCTCGCCATCCCTGGGGGGCTGCGATCTGCGAAACTGTCGCCATTTTCGAGGCCTGCTGGGGGGCCCAGCACAGTGAGGGCCACGCGCGGATTCAAATTAGACCTCGCCATCCCTGGGGGGCTGCGATCTGCGAAACTGTCGCCATTTTCGAGGCCTGCTGGGGGGCCCAGCACAGTGAGGGCCACGCGCGGACCCAAATTCTAGACGCTTCGCGTATCCCCACCAGCCCGTCCAGAAATGAGTCCCAGGGGAGTGGAGGTTATGAGGGAAGCGGGGGAGCATGCAGAAGAACAAAGGGCGGGGTGAGCCGCCATATACCCCAAGAGGGGGAGGATGTAGGAGGAGCCGTCGTCGTCGGAGTAGAGGAGGAAGAGGAGGAGCAGGAGGAGGAGCAGGAGGAGGAGGAGGAGGAATAGAAGGAGGAGGAGATGGAGGACTGCGAGGACGAGGAGGACGAGAAGGAGGAAAAGGAAAAGGAGGAGGAGGAGGAGGAGGAGGGGGAGGGGGAGGAGGGAGGAGAGAAGGAGGAGAAGGAGAGGAGGAGGAGGAGGAGGACAATTGCGACCTGGGGAGGAGGAGGAGGAGGAGGAGGAGGAGGAGGGGGAGGGGGAGGAGGGAGGAGGAAGAAAAAGAGGAGGAGGAGGAGGACAATTGCGAGCTTGGGGGCCTCTTGGGCCGTCCTTGGGGCCTCTTGGCGGTCCGGGGGCCTCTTGCGTATCTCGGGGAGCCTCTTGTGGCCTCTTGGGGGTCTCTTGGGGGCCTCTTGGAGGCCTCTTGGGGGCCTCTTGGGGCCTCTTGGGGCCCTCTTGGGGCGCTCTTGGGGCGCTCTTCGAGGCGCTCTTGGGGCCATCTTGGAGGAGATCTATCAAAGAAGGGGGGGTCCCCAATTAGCGCTGCCCCTCTAGAGTGCCTCGAGTCGCCTCTTGGGCCCCCCCAAGAGGCCAAAATCCTTCCAAAACCTTGGTAAAATCAATGTTTTCTGTTTTCTCGCCTTTTCGCTCTTGGAGCCGTCTTGGGAGCCGTCTTGGGAGCCTCTTGGGCCTCTTGGGGGTCTCTTGGGAGCCTTTTGGAGGCCTCTTGGGCGCCTCTTGGGGCCTCTTGGGGCGCTCTCGGGGCGCTCTTGGGGCGCTCTTGGGAGCCTTCGGGGCGCTCTTTGGGCCATCTTGCAGGAGATCGATCAAAGAAGGGGGGGTTGCTTATTAGCCCCGCCCCTCCAGAGTGCCTCGAGTCGCCTCTTGGGCCCCCCCAAGAGGCCAAAATCCTTCCAAAACCTAGGTAAAATCAATGTTTTCTGTTTTCTCGCCTTTTCGCTCTTGGAGCCGTCTTGGGCCATCTTGGACTCTCTTGGGGCCTCTTGGGGGTCTCTTGGCAACGTCTTGGAGGCTTCTTGGGGGCCTCGTGGGGTCTCTTGGGGCCCTCTTGAGGCGCTCTTGGGGCGCTCTTGGGAGCCTTCGGGGCGCTCTTTGGGCCATCTTGGAGGAGATCTATCAAAGAAAGGGGGGGTGCTTATTAGCCCCGCCCCTCCAGAGTGCCTCGAGTCGCCTCTTGGGCCCCCCCAAGATGCCAAAATCCTTCCAAAACCTAGGTAAAATCAATGTTTTGTGTTTTCTCGCCTGTTCGCTCTTGGAGCTGTCTTGGGCCATCTTGGACGCTCTGACACCTCGCGACCGGCCCCGTCCTGGTCAGTGGGGAGGGGTAAGGGGAGGGGTAAACCCCTCCCCGAAGGGGAAGAAGGGGGTTGGCAGAGGAAACTCCCTAGACCACCTACGCCCTAAAGGGCTGGTGGGATTAGACCTCGCCATCTCTGGTGGGCTGCGATCTGAGAAACTGTCGCCACTTTCGAGGCTTGCTGGGGCGGCCCAGCACTGTGAGGGGTACACGGGCAGATCAAAGGAGACCTTCCAATCCATGCGGGGATTGCGTTCTGTGAAACCTGTCGACATTTCGAGGCCTGCTGTGATCCACGTTGTCGAAGTGGCTAGGATGTGCTGAATCCACCAGCCTTTAGGGCGTAGTTTGGTCTAGGGAGTTTCCTCTTCAACCCTTCTTCCCGTCGGGGAGGGTTTTACCCTCCCCCTTACCCCTCCCCCATACCTGACGGGGCCGTCGCGAAGGTAGTAGGGGCTCCAAGAGCGATCAGGCGAGAAACACCAAAATTGATTTTACCTGGTTTTGGTAGGCTTTTGGCCAATTGGGGGGCCCAGAGGCGATCGAGGCACTCTGGAGGGGCGGGGCTAATAAGCAACCCCCCCTTCTTTGATAGATCTCCTCCAAGATGGCCCAAAGAGCGCCCCGAAGGCTCCCAAGAGCGCCCCAAGAGCGCCCCAAGAGGGCCCCGAGAGACCCCAAGAGGCCCCCAAGAAGCCTCTAAGAGGCTGCCAAGAGACCCCCAAGAGGCCCCAAGAGAGTTCAAGATGGCCCAAGACGGCTCCAAGAGCGACAAGGCGAGAAAGCAACAAACAATGATTTTACCTAGGTTTTGGAAGGATTTTGGCCTCTTGGGGGGCCCAAGAGGCGACTCGAGGCACTCTAGAGGGGCAACGCTAATTGGGGACCCCCTCTTCTCTGATCGATCTCCTGCAAGATGGCCCCAAGAGCGCCCCGAAGGCTCCCGAGAGCGCCCCAAGAGCGCCCCGAGAGCGCCCCAAGAGGCCCCAAGAGGCGCCCAAGAGGCCTCCAAAAGGCTCCCAAGAGACCCCCAAGAGGCCCAAGAGGCTCCCAAGACGGGTCCAAAAGCGAAAAGGCGAGAAAACAAAAAACATTGATTTTACCTAGGTTTTGGAAGGATTTTGGCCTCTTGGGGGGGC